GTGGTTTAAAAATCCTGAAGAAAGAACTCTTACTCCTAAAGAAAGTCTCTATTTGATCCCTTTGTCCTGTTAGTATGATCTGAAGGTGTTTGGTCCCCACCTAATCCTTCTGCTGACACCATCTAGCTTGATGTGGAGGCCAGAACTCAGAATACAGATGTGTGATTTGATTTCCCATAGCTAAGTAACTATGAATTAATGTCATTGTATGATTAGTAAGTAACTCTCAGCTGGTAATGGCTTCTTGGAAAGGTAGGCTTAGTAACTCATCCCATTTTGCTATTTGCATGGCTGCACCAATAAAAGGTGTCTGTCCAGATTCATAGCTAAGAAGTCCATTGCCCAGTTCATTCAAAGCTGTTCCAGTGTGCAGCCCAATATCCTTGCAGATATGCAGGGGTAGAGATTTCACATCTTTATGGGCCTTTATCCCATTAAACAAAAATACAGAGAATTTTTCCTCTTATTACTAATGTGCTTTAGAGAAGTTACAGTTTGTCCCTGAAGTGTGCAATTGAGAAATCACGTATTAAACATTATTAGATTAGTGTTATTGTGCATTTAAGCTCTTGCAGAATATTAAGTTAACTTGTGCTGATGTTGCCATACACACTTAATGTACAAAGGTTAGTTTTGAGTATTCCCAAAATGAAGAGTCATGTTTGTTTCAGGAATGTAATAAATCCATAAATGTCTGGTTTATAAGCCTGCTTCTTATGATGGATAGCAAAAAGTGCTTTAAGTGTCAGCCCCGAAGTGGCATGCAGTGAATATACTCTCTTCTAATCTAGTGAGATAAACCCGTCACAGGGTGGGATGCTTGAAACTCCAAGGAGCTTAATTGTACTTTGCAGCTGGATGTCGGCAAGGAGAGCACTGAGTGTCTTTGTTCCATGCTTTCTTGCCTCTCTTCCCTGTTTCTGCTTGTCTTTGTGGGGATCCCAGAGAGGCAATTCCCAAGACTTTGGGGAAGACAAGGCTGTCTCATGATGCATTATGGATTCAGCTGCTGTGCCTCTGTTCTAGTGGGCCCTACTACCTTATCTTTTAATACAGATAGAGATATATATAGTTGATTTGTGGAAGCCCTGTCATGTTTAATTGGCATAAATTTATTTTTTTTCCTGGATGCTGAACCTTTCAGGTTTGGTTGGTGGGCTTTTTCAGTTTTCATAGCTGCCTTCTGTGCATCTCAGAACGTTTTCCTGTTTGCAGAAGAGTTTTGTGATCCAGTGGAAGGATATTGTTTTGAGAGGGATACAGATATCTTATATATTGAAACTAATAATTGTGTAGCTCAGATCATTTACCTTCGATGTCTGAGAACACTGTAAAATGTCCCTGGCTGCCCCAGTTTACCTGAGTGCATGTTCTTTGTAGTAATTTATCGGGAGATGTTAATGCGTGCCTTGCTCCAGAGGCTCTCCTAGGTGAAAAAACTTAACTTTGATACAAGTCCAAAGATAGCTCATTCTATATGAGTGGCTATTCTGTATGATCACAGTGGCTAACAAGGCATCAACTGCAACCAGACAACTGTGAAAGAATATTCCTGTCCAAGGCAGATGGAAAACACCAGTGTGCAGAAAGGCTGAGTCGTTTTGGAAATACTCTTTAAGCACCAAGTAGTATGTGCTGTCTTTTTTTTTAATAAGCGTAGCCGCTAGCAATACTTAATTTTCATAGCATCAGTTTACCATTACCAGATTTGAGGGCCAGTTGCTTAGATCTTTGCCAGAGCTGGCTGTGCAACTAAGAAATGGTGGAGAAGGCTACGGCAATCATGAAATTACACAGGGCATGAGCTGAAGGTGTGAAATGAGTTTTCAAAGACCCCTTAATTTTGGCCCACTCTAACAAGGGAAAAGTCAGACTTGGCAAACTGATTTTCTTTTACCGGAGGGCTTATGTGGACTGGGTTTGGATACAATGGAAAAAAACCTGTAGTCAGCGCAAGGCTGACTGTGTAAAGGTGCCTACACCAATTAATTAACAATTTATCTCACAGCTTTTAGAGGAGTTGACATAACATTACTGAATCTGAATATTGAAACTGCATCAGATTGTCCCAGTGGAGTAATTGAGGAAGTAGTATCAGCCACTGTGGGAATTTCATCTCAAGACGTGACAGGAAGTCTTAGTGGAATTACCCTTGGTTGTGGCAGTGTCCAGATGGCTCTGGGCCACGGGAAGCGCTTTCTGGGGAGTTTGCAGAACTGAGGAGTTTCACAGAAAACTGAAGGCTGGCACAGTGATCCCTGCTAGGTACAGAAATTCCCGCCAGACCTTATTTTTATATACTTGGAAGATCTATCAGGTTAGATACCTTCCTTCCCTGTCATTCTGTGTGCCTCCTTCAGTGATTTGCTTTGGAATCTGCTTTAAGATATGAGCAAACAAAACTTGCTGTGAAGTGGAGCAGAGCTGGAGCTGTACCTTATCAGCTACTCCACAGGAAACGCCCATGGCACGGAGGAGTCTGTGGTAAACATGAGGTAATTTACATTCCCATGAGGACCTCGCTAGGGACCCTAGTACACACTAAAAACCAAGCTGCAAAACGTTTCGTATTTCTCTTGCCCAATGCTGGTAATCAGAGCACGCTCTGCAGAACTGGAGAGGTGGCTTTCACCCTTCTCAGACCCTGGAAAGAATGATACGAAGGCTTCTCTCCTGCTTGATAAGTGGTCCCGCCATTAAGCTGCGACACCAAAGTTGCATCCTCCTGCCTTTAGGAGACAAGCGCAGTACTTTGTCAGGAGCTTAGTCCTACCAAAGGTGATACGCAGTGACCAAAGCCCGCTCTTCAGAAGACTTCTGGTTGAACCAAGAGAGAGAACGTGCTGCTCGGGCCGGGCCAGTTCTGCTTCTGTGCGTGTCCGCGGCTCTTGGCAGCTGGAGAACTTAAAACAGCAGAGAGCACGAGCTTAGATGGCACTTGAACGCAGCATTGCACTGATCACAATTTGGACGTAGAGACCTTGGTTCTGTCCACACCCTGCTGGAGGTACGTACCGTATTGTATTGTACCCTTAGGTGTTGTTTCTAGTAACTTATTCATGTATGTACATATAGTTATATAGGTACTTAAAAGCATGATCTAAGTAAATGAAGTTTCTGTAGAAGGATAACCTGTCCAAGACTGACACCTACTGAGCCACACACAGTAGTGGCTAGCATTTTACAGCACCGGTATCTCTGTGACTACGGCAGTTCAATGCTAGCGTGCCTAGGGACCCCTGCAAAACAAAAGGCAGAGCTCTGTGAAAATCAGCAAATACACCAGCCTAGTGGAAAGCTGGTTTGAGGCACCGTTGGTAGAGAGAAACAGAGCTAGTGGCTCCTTTTCCCTGGGGGACAGGTATCTGCTCTGGGTTTGCTTCAACATTTCACAGAGTCCTTCTGCCCCAGGGACAGCCGACATCCCATTCCCGTTTTGCACAAGCAACAATCACTTCACAGCGAAGCGAAGCTGGTGTGAAACACAGAAACTAATAACCCACTTAACCCTCACTGAAGTAATTTTGAAAGCAGCAAGGGAGTGGAAATTCAATTCCCCCCCCCCCCCTTTTTTTTTTCCTCAGCAGATGGGAAGTTCAGTCTGAATGCACCGAAGGAGGAGGAAATAGATTTTGCTAAAAGTTGCCGGGTTCGTGGTCTGGTGAGGCTGAACTCACAATGCTTCAAGTGCTGGTACAACATTACCATTACCCCTGAGAAAGATAGCTGAGAAAAGGCTAGATGAAATGCTTCTGACCAGACAATGAAGGAAATGGTGAGACCTGGGAGGTTTTCAAAAGACAGGATGGTTCAAACCTGTCCTCAGATTTGTCTGATCTTTGCTAAGGCTGTAGCAATAGCTCTCGTTCTAAAGGAACAGTTATCAACCACCTTTGGAAGCTGTCCAGGTCAGTTAAGAATAACAAAAAAACAAACAAAAAAAAACCCCAAAAACTTCAGACCATGATTTTTGTCAGTGACAGACATTTGCCTCTTATCAGCCAGATGGGCAAAAAAAAAAAAATCCCTAAAACCAAACCCAAACCCAATTGGTAAGATCCCTCAGCTGTGAGAGAGGAGGGGATGCTAACTGTATGTGATGCCCTGGACTGGAGGCTTGGGAAGGAAGTGTTCCACTGAAGGGGATTGTGCCTATTAAATTGAAAAATAGCATTTGTCTTAAAAAATAATCATTATCCTTTTTAGTTCAGTACGTTTTTGTTTCTGCTGTAATACATACAGCCTTACTGAAAGGAGAGCTCAGGGATAAGAATAGAAACACTCTCTGTTCCCAAGAATCTCCATTTTCTTAGCTGGTGCTTTGGCCCTGCTATGCCCTACCTCTTCCCGACAGTCTTATCCCCCTTCTGCAGCTACGACCTTACCCTTAGAGCCAGCACATACTGCCTCTGGAAAGAGGTATGCTTGGCTTTGGTTAGCAGCTTGGCGGCAGACAGCCCCAGGCCCGGAGGGTCCTGCAGCAAGAGCTGAGACACTCCCAGAGGCACCAACCGCTATGGAAGTGGGAGTCCTCATGTTCATTTCCCCATTCATGTGACTGGGAACTGCCCAGAGTCAATGTATTTAATTGGTGTAAGACCAGCAGACCAGACTGCAAGCTATCACTTTCCTCGCTAAAGGAGACACTCCAAAACCATGCTCCATAGCACACGGTTACTACGGTTTCTTAAGCCTGAGGTCCTTTGTTAAACTTTCATGAAAAACAGTTGTTATCAAAATGTATTTTATTCTTAACAGGGTAGTTAGAATGCGATGGGTATACCTGATTAACATTTCCATTTTCCCTTGCAGTCACAGAAAGTCATTTCATCTTGCTTCATCTGTCATTAGTCAGAGGCCAGGAAATCTTACTTCAAGTTCTGTGAAAAATTGATTTTTACAAAAAGAGACATTTCTGACTAAAGAAAAAAATCTCTGCTAAAATGAGCAAGAGGTCCAATGTGAAATATATTTCAAATCTGGTTCAG